CCCCCAAAACCCCAAAACCCCAAAACCCCTCCTGGGTGAGAATATTTAAATTTTAAAATAATAGCCTGGTTTAAATGTCTGCTAATATTCAAAGAGGTGATAACCACACTTTGCATCATTCAAAGTATAAAGATAAGATGATTAGCCTGAGGTCAACTATTAATAACATTAAGAGTGAGTTTAGCGATAAGAAGAGAATCATTTGCACCAATGAGAGGATTAATAACCTCACTGACAACGAGTAAGAACTCAAATTGATATTTAGGTTGCAAAACTGCAATATTGAGATTGGGGAGAGTAAATAGGACTCAGAAGTACATCCCACTAACCAGATATATCGAGAACCAGACTCTGGAGCAAGATGAGGCTGATAATCATGACAATTATGACAAAGAAATCTCTTCATTTAGACAGAATGCCAAATTTAACACTGAAGAGAAGGAATTTAACCAGAATGTAAATGATAACTCTGGCAGGCTTTCATTCGGTCAGTTCATGGATTCCTTCGAGCAACAAAAGGAGGAAATCGTTCGTGAATGGATGAAAAAGAATAATGTAGACTTCTTTGAGCAAACAAGCCAGTTTGAGCCAAATATAGCAAAGAAGGAATATGAAATCCCCGACTATTTACTTAAGTACAGATTTTACTGATAGTTTTAGCCAAGATAAGGAGTCTAAGCTCAAGGATCAAGAGTTTTCTATCCGAGGGACGAATTTGGGTAAGGATTTTAGACTAGTTTTTAGAAAAGGAAGTTATCCGGGAAATATTGTTAAATCAGTTAAAATAAGCTAGACCAGCACCAAGACTGAGAATCGTAGATATGTACCATAATTTCTAGGAAACTTCAGGCTGAAGTGAACCTGTTAAAGACAGAGTTAGAGTCTATTAGGAAGGAATTTAAGAAGAAAATTAGTCAGTGAGACTCCCTGACTAAGGAAGTCCATAATTTAAAAGGCAAGGTTCGAGCATATCAGAAGATGCTTAAGCAACAAAAGGGGTTTCAGAATAATTATGATCTTGAGGTGGAATCACTTAAAGATCAGCTAGATAATGAAGTTACGAAAAGGACGAAAATAGAGAAGAAAGTTAGGAAGTTTATAAAATGGCTTCATAAGGATCAGAAGATATATATTGAAAACTTAATATCAAAGCTTGGTATTGAGGAAGTAAGAAAGTCTAAGCACAGGCGGTCTTCTTCTTGATGCTCGAATAATCAGTTTAAAATGATACATTCTCAAAATTCTAACAGAGCGAGTCCATTTGATTCAAGGAAAGAAGCTCCATCAATGAATTCAATTTCATCCAATAGATTTATAAGGAAAGTATTTTCTCCTGGAAATATTGATTCAAGTCAAAGGATTTTGTCTAACAATAAAGAGAACATTAGCTGGTAATCAGTTGTATAACTCTCATAGCAATCAGATGTACCCTTCTTTTGTGTCAGAGTCTAAGGACGTCTCTCAAAGTTATAAGCCAAGACTTTATTCAGTGAGGAAGAAAATTAAAAAGTCTCGGAAGTATTGCAAGAATTAATAATTTTTCAATTTTGTAACTCAGCAGCGGGGTTTTGGGGTTTTGGGGTTTTGGGGTTTTGGGGTTTTGGGG